TCAACCCCCTTCCCCTCCTTCTCCTGGCCTGCCTGGCCCGGCTCTTCCAGCACGCTCTGCTGGCCCCAGCCTCAGCAGCCCTCACGCCTCCCCGCAGCCACGCTCCCCACAGCCCCACACCACGCCTCCCCACTCCCTCGCCCTCCTGCACCACCGCCCCTCCGCTTTCTCACCCCCCTCTCTTCCAGGGCCCCTCCACACCACAGCCATGGCCTGCTCCGACCTCTGCCGCCCCTGCGGACCCACCCCGCTGGCTAACAGCTGCAACGAGCCCTGTGTCAGGCAGTGCGAGGACTCCCGCGTCGTCATCCAGCCTCCCGCCGTGCTCGTCACCCTGCCAGGACCCATCCTCAGCTCCTTCCCCCAGAGCACCGCCGTCGGATCCTCCTCATCGGCTGCCGTGGGCAACGTCCTCAGCTCCCAGGGAGTGCCCGTCTCCTCTGGAGGCTTCGGCTACGGCTACGGCTTGGGCGGCCTGGGCTGCTTCGGTGCCAGAAGGGGCTGCTACCCCTGCTAAGGGCCCTCACCACCACCCCTGACACCAACCACCCACACCCTGCAAGCCACGGCATCGATTGAAGACGCAGCTCCGGGCTGTTGCCGGCACATGGGCTCACCCTCCACGGCTCCTCCTCTCTAAGCACCAAACATGGAAGCAGTGAAGGGGCAGCCCAGGTTTCCTGGAAACATTGCCCAAGTACCTCCTCTTTTTCTCCAACTGTCTTCTTTGCATCCGCCTTCCTGCTATGTCCACGACTCTCTGCCGCAGGCACCTTCTACAAAGCCAAAGGTCACTGGGGACCTCAGGCGGGCTGCTCCAACTGTAGGGTAGGAAGGCTGTGGTGCTCTGGAAAAGTCTACTGCCCCGAAGGGACCTCTGCTGATGGTCGCCCTACTGCACCTCAGACCACCTTGTTTTCCAATTTTTTTCTTCAATAAAGTTCTTCTGCATCCCAGTCAAAGACTATAACACTTATTTTCTTCTCCGAAAGCTCCTTCCACTTTACCCAGCAGAAAGCCAGGGCTCAACTGCCATTGCTGTGGTGGGTGGAAATGGGATACAAGACCTCTCCTCGGAAATGCGTCACCACCAACACAGACTGGACCTGGGGGGCTTCCAGAATGTGGCACAAGCCCATTCTTGCACAAACTAAGGGGTAGATAGCACAACACTCCCCTACACACACCTCTGATGAGGTCCTTCCTGTGCCAGCACACACTTGACTGTCTTCCACAGCATTACTCTCCAGCTCTCCCAGCAAACAGAATCACGAGATCATTACTTTGGCAGGAACCTCTGGAGAGCAGGTGCTTCTACACCCTCTGTGCAAGCAGGGACAGCTGCAGCAGGTTGTCCGGGTTCCACGGCCGATCACATTTTCAGTATCTCCCAGGATGGAGCCTCTTCCACTCCTTGACCACGCTCACACTGAGAAAGACTTGCTGCTTTTGCCCGTGGAATTCCATCCTTTCTCACTTGTGCCCAAGGCCTCTTGTCCTGCAAACGCGCGCTACTGAGGAGAGCCCGGCTCCCTTCACCTCATTCCCTGGCTTCAAGGATTTATACACATTTAAGAATGAGTGTAAAGGGGAGGCAGAGGATGTACAGTTCTCGATTTTAGTAAGGTTTCCGATTCTGTCCCTCTCGGAAAATTGCCTACACAATTGTTCCAACTGTGATGTGATAAAGTACACGCAGCGATGGGTAAAGAACTGGCTGAACATCAGGTCTCAGTGTTCTGGTGAATGGGGCTACATCTGGCTGGTGACTGGTCACCTGTGGTGAGCCTCAGGGCTCCATTCTAGGGCCAGCTCCAGACAAGATCATTACCAACGCTCTGGAGGCAGGAGTTGAACGTGCCATTAGCAAATCTGCTGATGATACCAAACTGGGAGGTGCTGTTGACTATCTTGAGGGACAAGAATCTTGCCAGAGGGATCAAAAAAGGGTGTTAACTGCTTGGAAGCAGCCAAAGCAGGACAACAAAGCTGGGAAAAGAGCTGGAAGGCATGTCCTAGGAGGACTGGCTAAAGACTCTGGGTTTACCTAGTCTGCAGAAAGGAGGCTGAGGTGCTACCTCATTGCACTCTGCTGCTTCCTCAGGAGAGGACGTGGAGAGGGAGCTGCTGAGCTCTTCTCCATGAGACCCAGTGACAGGATTCATGGCAATGGGTCAGAGCTGCAGTGGGGAAGTTCAGACAGATAGAAGGAAATATTTTGTTATAGATCAGGTGGTCAAACACTGAAAGAGGCTTCCTAGAGAGGAGGACGATGCCCCAAGTCTGACAGTGTTTAAGAGGCATTTGGACAAACAATCCCTTAATTACATGCTCTTCCTCTTTGTCACCCCAGCAGCGAACAGGCAGTTGGACAAGATGATCACTGCACGTCCCTTCCAACTGGACTCTTCTAATCCAGTCTTGTCTATTATGCTTCGCCAAGCCTTTGGCATGCAAACATCACCTCGAGGTTCTCAGGTGCACAGCCCCATGCAGCACGCACGCCTCCCCTTTCCCCTCCACTGCATCCAATCCCACTCTGGCCCCACAAACACTGCACAGAGAAATGGCCTCACCCCTCGGCAATCACCCCAAAGTCAGAACCCACCTCCCCTGCCTGCCGTTCCCACTCCCCCTGGGCCTCTCCCCACACTCACCATCTCTCCCACAACTCACCAGCCTCAGCTCCACCGCCAGGTCCACCCCCAGCGGCCAGCCAATCACAAGGCATTTAGCAGCATGGCAATCAGGGGGCAGCTGTCAGCCTGCCAATCAGGGGGCAGCTGACAGGCACCAGCTGCTGCAGAAGCTCCTGGAAGCTTCCAGAACATGCCTGTCAGGAGCCAAAATCGATATTTCTGGTACGATAAATGGATAATCTTCACCAATCTGCCCCGAAAACAACTGCTGGGATGGGAAGGCGGTGAACGAGGGAATGAATTAGTAGAAATGCTACTGAAAACCAAATCAAACATCTCACACGAGAGCTGTTAGGGGACTCAGAGAGGGAAGAGGGAGGTAAAATGCCCTGATTAAATAACACCCCCAAAAAACTCTGACATCAGCGAAGACATCAACAGACCCTGATCTTCTTCCCGTAATGCAGCGTTCATGGGACAGCCATGCAGGGTCATTGTCCCCTCTTGCTGTAGTCCACACCCAACTGCCTGGCAGTCCCAGTGACACCCTCTTCCCTCATGATGTGGTCCCCAGGTCATCCAGAGATGGTCCCATCTCCAAGTCCCCTCTTGCACTGCCTTGCACTTTTCTCCTGACACCTTCTCTCTTCCATGGTCAAAAACGTGAGCATTCTTGCCTCCCACTCCCCTCAGATATCTCCAAATTCTCTTGCATCCCACCAGACACTGCCGAGAGAAATAGCCTCCTCCCTTGGCAAATCCCCCAAAGGTCCTGGCTCACCAGCCTCCCCTGCCTGCTGCTCCCACTCCCCCTCTGCTTCTCACCACGCTCACGGGCTCTCCAGAAATTCACTTGCTCTTGCAGGGTGCCTCATCTGCAAGCATAGAGACTTTTAGGTTGGAAAGGACCCATAACATCATCCAGGTCAACAATTAACCCAGCACTGCCAAGGCCACCAGTAAACCATGACCCTAAGCACCACATCTACAGGTTTCTCCAGGATGGTGACACAACCTCTTCCCTGAGCAGACTCTTCCACTGCCTGACAGCTCCTTCCATACAGACATGTTTTCTCATAGCCAACTTAAACCTTCCCTGGCACAAACTGTAGCTGTTTCCTCTTCTCTTATCACTTGTTACCAGGAATAAGAGTCTGAAACCCACTCAGTTACAAAGTCCACTCAGGTAGCTGTATGGAGTGATAAGGTCTGTGCTCAGCCTTCAGACTGAATAACCCCACTTCACACACAAGCACGTCAGAAATATTGTTCTCTTCACGCTTCCCCAGCTTCGCTGCTCTTCTTCAGATGCATCACGCTAAAGTCCAGTTTACAAACTTACCAGCCCCGGCTCAGGGGAGCACTCTGGAGAGGCCAAGCCAATCCTTTGGGGAGCAGGGCAGGCCTCCCCACAGCACAGGGCTTGACAGCTCTGAACCAGGGCTGCCAGGCCAACGGCCTGCTCTGGCAAACAGCCCTCCTCTGCCTGCTGGCACTGCCACCCCCAGGGACGGCCCCAAGGGGCTGCAAGCCCAAACGGGCAGGAGCCTTTCTCCCAGCCACAGCCTTACAAGCCAGAGGGGCAACAAGACACACACACAGAGCAGATAGCCGAAAGGGCAGGGCTAAAGAGAGGATTAGCGAGCTGGCGGTGAGGTGGGGAGGGACTGAACGCCATGTCAGGGTCAATGCCTTGTGCCTGACACAACTGAAAAGAACAGACCAGGTTGCCAGGGCTGTGAGGAATTGGAGACCCCATTACACAACATACCGCAAGCCACAACACACGAATGCATCCTGATGACCTCACTGTTGACAAACACATCTACATTTTGGCAACATCTACCAAATATTCTGTCAAACACAAGCAAGACTGAGTCTGTTTCCTCTAATATTTGTACTTAAAAGTTGCCGCCAGGGTCAGAAGGACACGTCCTCAAGTGAAGGACACGAAACAGAGGTTTGCGGGAAGGGAAACACACCCCACCTCATTATTGGCGAGGTCGTGGCACACAAGAGCCGCCTGCTGCAAAATGCCGTCACGCGCAAAGGCTGTCCCGCCCCTTGGGCACCCGCATAAAAGCCGGCCCAGCGCCTCTCTCCCTCACACCCTTCTCCTGACGCCTTCTCCTCCGCGCTCAACAAGGTGAGCCTCAACCCCCTTCCCCTCCTTCTCCTGGCCTGCCTGGCCCGGCTCTTCCAGCACGCTCTGCTGGCCCCAGCCTCAGCAGCCCTCACGCCTCCCCGCAGCCACGCTCCCCACAGCCCCACACCACGCCTCCCCACTCCCTCGCCCTCCTGCACCACCGCCCCTCCGCTTTCTCACCCCCCTCTCTTCCAGGGCCCCTCCACACCACAGCCATGGCCTGCTCCGACCTCTGCCGCCCCTGCGGACCCACCCCGCTGGCTAACAGCTGCAACGAGCCCTGTGTCAGGCAGTGCGAGGACTCCCGCGTCGTCATCCAGCCTCCCGCCGTGCTCGTCACCCTGCCAGGACCCATCCTCAGCTCCTTCCCCCAGAGCACCGCCGTCGGATCCTCCTCATCGGCTGCCGTGGGCAACGTCCTCAGCTCCCAGGGAGTGCCCGTCTCCTCCGGAGGCTTCGGCTACGGCTACGGCTTGGGCGGCCTGGGCTGCTTCGGCGCCGGAAGGGGCTGCTACCCCTGCTAAGGGCCCTCACCACCACCCCTGACACCAACCACCCACACCCTGGAAGCCACGGCATCCATTGAGGACGCAGCTCCGGGCTGTTGCTGGCACATGGGCTCACCCTCCATGGCTCCTCCTCTCAAGGCACCATGAAAAGAAACAGGGAAGGGGGAGCCCCGGCTGCCTGGAAACTTGGCCCATGTACCTCCTCCTGTTCTCCAACTGTCTTCTTTGCATTGCCCCTTCTGCTATGTCTGCTCCTCTCCGCTGCAAACACCTTCTCACAAGCCAAAGCCCACTTGGAGCTCCAGTGAGGTACTCCTACTGCAGGGCGGGAAGACCTCAGAGATCTGTCAACATCACCTGCACAAGGGACCTCGGCTTGTGGTCGCTGTACTTCCACCACAGATCGGCTCTCTTCCACTCGGCACTCCTGTCTTTTCCCTGTGTTTTTCCCTCAATAAAGTTCTCCTGCAAACCACCCAAACAAGCCTCCTCTTTCTTTCTTCTCCCAAGGCTCTTCCAACCTCACCCACCTAAAGCCAGGGCTCAACAGGCCATCAGAATGAGTAGAAAAGCGCTACACAACAACTCTTAGCGAGGATCTCTCCAGCAAGGACACCAACACAGACTGGAAGCGGGGGGCTTCCCGCCCATGACACAAGCCCTTCACTTCCCTGCAGAAAGGCTCGGACACGCTGTGCACTTCTAGACATGCCCTTAACATAGGTTCCCCATGGCTACACACACCTGACCAACCCTTTTCCCCAGCACAACTCTCTGGTCACCACAACAAGCACAATCAAAGCAAAAAGAATCACTGGGTGCCAAGCTACCTCTGAAGATCATCTGCTTCAACCCAAGCGGCTCAAGCATGGCCAGCTCAAGCACGCTGTCAACAAACATGGCCAGTCAAGTTTTCAGTATCTCCAGGGATGGGACTTCAGCACTTCTTTGCAGAACCACTTTCACTCTTTGACCACTCTCACAATGAAAAACGATTGCCACTCTTCCAAGGGTACGGCAGGTCATTTCAGATTTCTCCATTCTCCCTTGTCCTGGTCATGCACACCCATGAGAAGACTCTCACTGCCGTTTCCACATGCCCTCCCAGTTGGGATTTAGACACACTGATGACATCTCCCCGGGACAGCATTGCCTACCAGATGAAAAAAGCTCTCAGCTCTCTCAGTTTCCCTCATAGCAAAGATGCTCCAGTCCCTTCAGAGTCTCAATGGCCCTGAATTCACCTCAGTCCTCTAAGTCCATGTCCTTCTTCAACAGGGGATACCTCAATGGACACAGGACTCCATGTGAGGCCTCAGCAGCCCTGCAGGGACGACAGGATCACCTCCCCAAACCTCCTGGCAACGCTCTTCCCAACGCCGCCCTGGAGATACTTGGCCTCTTTTGCCGTAATGGCGCAGTGATGCCTCGCAGTCAGGTCATTCTCCACCAGCAACACAAAGCAGGGTTCAGTAAAGCTGCTTTCCAGCCTCTCTACCCCCAGCATGTCCAGATGCCCTGTGCTATTCACGCCACAGATGCAGGCCTTTGCATTTCTGCCTCTTGAACTCCCAGAGATTCCCCTCTGCCTCATTCTCCAGACTCCCTCAGAATGGCAGCACAACCATCCGTTGGCTTAGGTTCTCTTCCAGATTTTGCATCATCTGACAACTTCCTTAGGCAGCACTTCGTCCCACTGCCCACGCCACTGATGAGGATGTTGAACAGTGTTGGCCCCATGGATGCTAGTCCTGGGCTACGCCGTTTGAGACTTGCCTGCATCTGGACTTTGGGACACTCATCACAAGCCACTGCGCCCAGCCCTTCAGCCACTTTCGCAACCAATACTTTCTCAGTGTGTTTAGGAACATGCAAGGGGGGAAAGCGTCAAAGCTTAACGAAAAAAGGCGAGGTAAACACCAGCCACGGCTCTCATCCTTGTCCACAAAGAGAGTCACTTCAATATAGAGGACATGGAGGTTGGTCAACTGTGACTTCCCCTTTGTAAATCCACACCGACAGATCCGCACCAGCTTCTTGTCCTTCCTGGGACTGACAGTGCTTTCTGCGAGGATTTCCAACATCACCTGCCACAGGAGCAAGGCCAGTCTCAACAGTTTCTACTTTCCCAAATCTTCCATCCTAGTCTGCTTCAATACATCAGGCCTATAAGCTCTCTTCCAGCCATCAGGAACTGCTCAAAAGGGAAGCCGTCTTTCTCACAGCCACAGCCTTACAAGACCGAGGGGCAGGCAACCTCGTGGATCTCAGCCAGCGGGGAAGGCCAGGCCTAAAGACATGCTTAGCAAGCTGGCATAAGGCGGGGAGGGATGGAACGCCATGGCAGGGTCAATGCCTCGTGCCTGACACAATTGCAAAGACCAGACCAGGTTGCCAGGGCTGTGAGGCATTGGAGACCCCATTACACAACATACCGCAAGCCACAACACACGAATGCATTGGGTTGACCTCATTGTTGACAAGCACATCTACATTTCGGCGACATCTACCAAATGCTCTGACAAAAAGAACCAACATTAATGCATTATTCCTCTATTACTCACACTTAAAAGTTGCCTCCAGTGTCACGAGTACACGTCCTCAAGAGAAGGACATGAAAAGTGAGCGTTGCGGGAAGGGAAACACACCCCACCTCATTATTGGCGAGGTCGTGGCACACAAGAGCCGCCTGCTGCAAAATGCCGTCACGCGCAAAGGCTGTCCCGCCCCTTGGGCACCCGCATAAAAGCCGGCCCAGCGCCTCTCTCCCTCACACCCTTCTCCTGACGCCTTCTCCTCCGCGCTCAACAAGGTGAGCCTCAACCCCCTTCCCCTCCTTCTCCTGGCCTGCCTGGCCCGGCTCTTCCAGCACGCTCTGCTGGCCCCAGCCTCAGCAGCCCTCACGCCTCCCCGCAGCCACGCTCCCCACAGCCCCACACCACGCCTCCCCACTCCCTCGCCCTCCTGCACCACCGCCCCTCCGCTTTCTCACCCCCCTCTCTTCCAGGGCCCCTCCACACCACAGCCATGGCCTGCTCCGACCTCTGCCGCCCCTGCGGACCCACCCCGCTGGCTAACAGCTGCAACGAGCCCTGTGTCAGGCAGTGCGAGGACTCCCGCGTCGTCATCCAGCCTTCCACCGTGGTGGTCACCCTGCCAGGACCCATCCTCAGCTCCTTCCCCCAGAGCACCGCCGTCGGATCCTCCTCATCGGCTGCCGTGGGCAACGTCCTCAGCTCCCAGGGAGTGCCCGTCTCCTCCGGAGGCTTCGGCTTCGGCTACGGCTTGGGCGGCCTGGGCTGCTTCGGCGCCGGGAGAGGCTGCTACCCCTGCTAAGGGCCCTCACCACCACCCCTGACACCAACCACCCACACCCTGCAAGCCACGGCATCGATTGAAGACGCAGCTCCGGGCTGTTGCCGGCACATGGGCTCACCCTCCACGGCTCCTCCTCTCTAAGCACCAAACATGGAAGCAGTGAAGGGGCAGCCCAGGTTTCCTGGAAACATTGCCCAAGTACCTCCTCTTTTTCTCCAACTGTATTCTTTGCATCCGCCTTCCTGCTATGTCCACGACTCTCTGCCGCAGGCACCTTCTACAAAGCCAAAGGTCACTGGGGACCTCAGGCGGGCTGCTCCAACTGTAGGGTAGGAAGGCTGTGGTGCTCTGGAAAAGTCTACTGCCCCGAAGGGACCTCTGCTGATGGTCACCCTATTGCACCTCAGACGACCTTGCTTTCCATTTCTTTTCCTTCAATAAAGTTCTGCATCCCAGTCAATGACTATACCACATCTTTTCTTCTCCGAAATCTCTTTCAACTTTACCCAGCACAAAGCCAGGGCTCAACTGCCATTGCTGTGGTGGGTGGAAAAGGGATACAAGACCTCTCCTCGAAAATACGTCACCACCAACACAGACTGGACCTGGGGGGCTTCCAGATTGTGGCACAAGCCCATTCTTGCACAAACTAAGGGGTAGATAGCACAACACTCCCCTACACACACCTCTGATGAGGTCCTTCCTGTGCCAGCACACACTTGACTAACTGTTTTCCACAGCATTACTCTCCAGCTCTCCCAGCAAACAGAATCACGGGATCATTACTTTGGCAGGAACCTCTGGAGAGCAGGTGCTTCTACTCCCTCTGCGCAAGCAGGGACAGCTGCAGCAGGTTGTCCGGGTTCCACGGCCGCTCACATTTTCAGTATCTCCCAGGATGGAGCCTCTTCCACTCCTTGACCACACTCACACTGAGCAAGACTTGCTGCTTTTGCCCGTGGAATTCCATCCTTTCTCACTTGTGCCCAAGGCCTCTTGTCCTGCAAATGCGCGCTACTGAGGAGAGCCCGGCTCCCTTCACCTCATTCCCTGGCTTCAAGGATTTATAAACATTTAAGAATGAGTGTAAAGGGGAGGCAGTGGATGTACAGTTCTCAGTTTTAGTAAGGTTTCCGATTCTGGCCCTCTCGGAATACGCCTACACAATTGTTCCAACTGTGATGTGAGAACGTACATGCAGCATTGGGTAAAGAACTGGCTGAACAGCAGCGCTCAAAGAGTTGTAGGGAATGGGGATACAGCTGACACCTTCTGGAGCAGGCAGGATAGATTAGAGCACTGGGCAATGATTAACGGCCAGAAATTGAAGAAGAAGAAATGGCAGATTGTGCACATAGGAGGGAGCAATCTCTCTACGCACGTAACAGACTGGGAGAGGAGTGGCTGGAGAGCAGCCCTGCAGAAAGGGATCTGGGGGTGCTGGCTGACAGCAGGCTCCCGACGAGTCAGCAGCATAGCCTGGCAGCCAAGGGGGCAAACCGCATCCTGGGGTGCAGCCAACACAGTACAACCAGCCGGTCACAGGAGGGGATTAGCCCGCTGGATTCCCCGCTGCTGCAGCCTCACCTTGAGTATCGTGGGCAGAATTGGATCCCTCCAATTTAAAAAAGGATGTTAAAGTTCTTGAAAGCAGCCAGAGCAGGGCAAGGAAGCTGATGGATGACGGGGCTGGAAGGGCAAGTCCTATAAGGAGCAGCAAAAGACTCTGTGTTCATCTAGCCTGG